CAGGGTCTGATAGCTGGGGACCCCCGCCGAAATTCCTTGACCCCGGTGGTGCTCTGCGCGGTCTGTCTGGAATCACCCTCTCTCTCTCTCTGCTGGGTAGCATCCGATTGATCTCTCTGGCCGCACAGAAGTTTATTTCTGACATTGCCAACGATGCGCTGCAGCACTGCAAGATGAAGGGAACGGCCTCAGGCAGCTCCCGCAACAAGAGCAAGGTGAGAGAAGGACAGAGCGGCTGCTCCGGTGAACATCCTCTCCTGGGGCTGCGTCGAGCCGAACTCGCCGCCACTGCATGCGGCGATGTGGGTTGTAGTAAGTCCTAAACCTGTTGTGTTCCTGAAGGGTCGACACTCCTAGCAGTAAGGTAGAGTCCTGCTGGTGGAAGAGGGACACTGGTGGGAAAACGAGGTGGGCAGTGGAATTTGTGGAATATGCTTTGATGGCTTCACAGGAATGCGTGAGTCGCTGCACCTCATCAGACGGAGGGCCATCTAGCCTCATGTCCCTCTGACAGTGACCAAAACTGATGCTTGGGGAAGAATGTAAACGGGCAGCAAGCATGTAGCAGTAGTTTCTGGGAATTCTCCCAGTCATCATCTGTTTGTGGTTCGGGGGCCTCAGGAGGGCGACATGATTTGTCTTTACAGTGTTGAGTAACGCTCAGTGTGTTCCTGCCCGTTGAGCAGCTGAGGGCTCAGAGCAAACGAAACGTGCGGTACTTAAGAGCCAGTTAATACCCCAAATGCTGGTCTGCAGCTGCTGCTGAGGATTGTGCACGTACAGCTCTCCACAGCTTGTAGGGGAAAAATCCTAAATCCACAAGGTTTTGAGGAATGCCTGGCGTCTCAGATTGTCCTCGCTGTGACTGATGCTACTCCTTGTTCCTTCAGGATAAGAAGTACACGCTGACCATGGAAGACCTAGCACCAGCACTTGCAGAATATGGCATCAATGTGAAAAAGCCACATTACTTCACATAAAGACTGAGGGATTGTCACTGGGAACTTTTTTAGGGTCGCTTCTGTGCCATTAAACAGCTGGGTAGTTTTTTTTTTTGTGGGAAGGCATCTTGTCTCCTGCTCATGCGCTCATGCCCTGCCTACAAGTAAAACAGCACGCGAGCCGACCTGCCAGGGCCTTCTGTTCTTGCTACACCAATGAAAGCTGGCGCTGTGCCTTTGAAAGGCCAGTGCAGAGGGGTTGGCTGTAGGGCTCGCACCTGGGGGATTGTGGTTGCACCTTCTGCCATCCCCAGGACTCAGCCCTGCCGCAAGAAGCTGAAGGTACGTGGACAGAGTGGGAATAGGGCTGCCCAGCCATCTTCGTTTCTTCCTCCCCGGCGTACCAGCTGCCTGCCAAGAGGAACGCTCTGGGGCCTGTGCAGACAGCGCTGCAGACAGAGCCTGGGCCCTTCTCGCAAAAGAGGGGGCTGCTGTTGGCCCACCTGCCCGCCCCGCTCCAAGCACTGGAGGAGGGTTGGTACAGGTACCGATCCAGAGCCTGGGACCCTGCAGACTGTGGGGCATCCCCTGCGTCACTCTTCTCCCCTTTCTGTGGACAGCGCCCTACGCACGTACACACCCCGCCACCCGCAGCCAGTTTTCGTAACAAATGTTTATTTCGGGTGCTGGCAGCCTTTCCACATCGCCTGGATGGAGACGATAAAGAGTGAAGCGCGAAGCTGGGGTGGTGCTGGGCGCAGCGGGCAAGCTTCACCCCGCTGTGCTGCGTAGGGACGAGCACCAGGACCGGGCATTGCCTAACGTGAGGCTGTTACACGGGTGCGCTGCTCTGGGCCTGGGGCTGAGGAGGACAGGGTGGCCCCGCAGTCCTGTCCCAGCCCCGCAGGTCGCAGAGCCCAGCCGTGCTCAGTGCCACGGGCCAGGCCTCCTGC